ATCCGATAAAATTAAATCCGAAATACAAAATACTCAAGAAGATGGTGTACCCTTGCATCCTATTGGTAATAATTTGTATTCTATGAAACGAATATATTTAAAAAATTCAATTATTTAACCTATTATTATTTTTGATTTAGTTATCGAATCTGCTACAAATCAATCGTTTGTTACTCGGAGATTAATAAAGGAGACTATTCGCCTTCAAGTATTCGAGTTATTTCCTTATATATGGGATTTTTCATCTCAAATTAAAGAACAACGATTATATATAGATCGTAAAACAATGGACATGAATTCATTAGAAATCTTGATTATATATGGATTAAAAATGGAGGATGAACTGAGAACATTTCGTAATGAAATACAAGTTGCAAAAATTCAGTATGAAGAAAAGAAGAAACATGAAATTGATACAATAAAAAAGGATTGTTATATAATTTCAAATTTAGCATAGAAAAAATTAAGTGATCGTTATAAGTATTTATATTTAATATTTTTTTTAAAAGAATAATAACCATAATTTTTAATACTTATTCTCAGGCTTTTTGAAAATTGGAACGGGAAATCCCGTCACGAGAAAATATAATTTATATAAGTGATAAGGGTTAAGTATTGTATTCTTTAAGGTTTATTTATAATTATTTTTTATTGATAAGTTTATATTTTATTAAATTAGATTTAGAAAGGACCCATTCAAAATATCAGATAAAGAAGGACAAATTGATGAAGCAATTAAAATCAATTCCAACAATTGGAATAAATTGAAATGTGGATATATTTTAACTTCGACAATTATTTTTGATATTTTGGAAAAGAATGAAGAATCCGCAAGACATGTTTTTTATGATTTCAAACAAACTGATAAAAAATCATATATTGTACCAATCTCTTTTAAAAGTTTAAAGATATATTATAGATTTTGTACATGAACTTATTAATTCCGAAATTTTGACTAGAAAGAAATATATGACCAAAAATCTGAAAGATAAGAATTTTGTACAAGAATTAATTAGTTCCAAAAATATGTTAAATATAAAATCTATAAAAGACCTTATGATTTAAAAAATATGTCAGATGAAATAATTGTACGAGATCTTGTTAATTCATCATACCTTGGAGAGGACAAAAAAGAATTAATAAGTATTTTCTTTGAAGAATACAGAAAGTGGAAAGTCATCTTTTCTAATGAAATTAAAGAAATTCTGCAAAAAGATTCTCTCATTCAAAAATTATCACATCACTTAAAGGAAGAATTTGAGCAAGAAAAGAGAAATATTATATCTCGTGAATTTCATAGGCTTTGCAATGTAATAGAAGAAAAATATCAAAATAATGGGTAAGTCTTAATTTCTAAATATTATATTGATTAATCGGCATCAAATAATTTTTCATTTTTTTTTTTTTTTTGGTAAGAACTTTGCGGATAAATATACAGAGTATAACAGGTGATTGGTTATAAACTGTATAAATAATTAATGATATGATGTTTTAACACATTACTTAATATTTTAGCAAGTAATTCTTATAACTCTAGGGTCGACATTAATTATTGTTTCAAACATGAGCTTGAAATAATTGAACCAAAAAAACTTCAAATAACAATTTTTGAGACATCATTAGAGCAAGCGGATACCTTTCATCTACATAATGAAGAGTTTTATATTCCAAATCCAATTTTGCTTTCTTATAATAATTATTGTATTGGTGTAACTTTGCAGATTGATTCTTCAATTTACGATTTCAGGTAATAATTTAATATTTTTTTTGACTTTCTTAAATTATTTTTGTATTGTCTGACAATATTTATAAATCCCAGAAAAATAGCCCAATTTGATAATCGCAAATTTCTTCTTATACTTTACAATAAAAAAGAACAAAAATTTGAAATGTTCTTTGACACTGCTCAACGGTTAGCAAATAATTTCAAATATTCAATTAAAATATTTAGATCTTTGCATACAGATGAAAATGTATTTATTGCAATTAATGAGCCGAAAGATCTAATCGCTATATATGATACAAAAAAAGTTTTGGTATATTAAATGTTCCTTGGGATATTATTGTTTTTATTATACTTTAAAAAACATAATACTAATTAAAATTTTTTATAAATAGTTGAACGTATACTCATTTAATGATGAACAAAACTATTTATATGTACGAGATTCAAATATCCAGTTACTACAATGGTATAATAATATGATCCCAAATCTTCGACATTTTTTTTTTATTAAAGACACCGAAGAACTCTGTTTTGTTGAAAAAGGTGGTCGGGCACGTATTTTCAATCTTATAACTAAGCAATTTCGACCAGCATTTAGTTTTCCATCAAATATTGTAAATGTTTTAAGTTCTCCTGATGGATCATGTATTGTAGCGTTTGTAAAAGAAAAATTAGAGTATAATAACTATGATAGCGTTACAAAAATCAAGGATGATAATGAGATTAGACATGTTGCTGATGATATGAAAAATATTAATAATACTGTCAATGACAACAACATCAAAGAAATATGCCGTGCTTATGTTTATTTTTGCACAAATTTTGGCGGTTCTGTTAATAAAGGTAATTTAATTCTATTATATTATTAAATAAAACGAGCAATGTTTTTTTTTATTAATGCTCACGTTTCTTAATAGTTGTTGACTTACCACCAACCCTTCAATCCTTGGAATTCTTGCAATTTACTCGTATTAACAAGTTACAAACTCACTTGATGTCAATTGATTTACAAACTGGATGTTTTAATTCCTCAATAGTTAAAATAGCTCTCGAAAAAACTCAATATCGTTTTCAGGAACGAATGCAAAAACAGTCTCTTGGACGTGTAAGGTTAATTGATTCTATTATCGAAGG